CCTTGCTTTATCTACCTTATTTTCCATCCCTTATCGTGTTTTGCTGGCGTTTGCAGTCTTTAAAAAATATATCATTTGATCAAGACTTTTCTAAAGGTGATATGGGCAATTTGCAGCTCTCCTCTGTAAACACATGATCACTTGGTACGAAACACTGGTGTTTAGCAAGGATTTCAGAGCTCTGCCTGGCTCTTTCCATTTTTTGTGTGACTAGAAGATTTCACAAAGGCAAAGGCACTTCGATTGTGCGCAGAGTACATGTACAATAGTGGCTTATTTTAATTCTAATATATGTAGGACGGTAGCTGGATTTGAAAGGGTACTCCTTGATTGCACCCATTTTGAAATTGGTCTTTTAACAATCGAATTGGAGATATGTGTGTGTGCGCGCACACTAAATTATAAAGATGCTATCCTTGTTTTATTAACACTACAGCAAATCATTAACAGTTTGGACCACTTAACTATGTTTCAGTTGTTTTTCAGTGTTTCCAAAGAACTCGCCACATGGTGTAAGCTCTTTCAAATTCTGTGCTGTAAAGTAGCTGTAGGCCATATGAAAAATGCTCAGTATGACTTATGAGGTTTGCTGATGTTCTCAAACAAGTAATTCCTTTGTCTATCAGTTTTATTAAACTATGCTGGGAGCAATCATAGACTTAAGTTGTGCATACCAAAACCTGTGGGTAAGTCTCTAAAGGCACAGTTGCAGCTTCAGATTGATTTGTAAAACTGGCTTTTGAGCATAGGTGCACCACATGTTTTTTGAGCTGACAACATATTGCCTGCGGCATAATTTATATTGTACTGTACATCTGAAACAGTTCTGAGTCCCTGTTTGTATCACAAATGGATTAAGTTTTATAGATTTTCAATATTTTAAGTGAATGTATAAGTATTGAATTCATGTTTTTCACTTTAGCAGTTTTTAAATGTATTTATCTAGAATGTTTGTATTTATGTGTTTAATTTTCACTCACTACATACCTAGACTTTCCTTGGGCATGAGTCATTCAGTTTTTCCTGGATCCATTAAATTGTTGTAATTGAGCCAGACACTGTAGCATCCAAGCTATAGTGTCTGAAAGATTTTCAGCAGTGGAACTCTCTGTCCCAGAGTGTGGTGGAGGCTCCGTCTTTGGAGGCTTTTAAACAGAGACTGGATGGCCATCTGTTGGAGGTGCTCTGAATGCAATTTTCCTGCTTCTTGGCAGGGGGTTGGACTGGATGGCCCACAAGATCTCTTCCAACTCAGTGATTCTATTCTATGATTCAAGCACTGTGATTCCTTTCTCTGGGGACAAGACAATAGTTTCCATGGCTAAGTAGGGATTTGAATTGTGGTCTCCAGTCCTTGTCCAGCACTCAGATCACTCAGTCCAACATGCTGGTTCTCATTGGCATTACCAAACTGACCCTTTTACAAGTTCTTATTTGCTGAGGCAATTCTAGCAAAATCCCACATGTTTACAATATCTCTGAATCGTAATTATTCCCAGGAATTGCAGGGATTTCAGAAATAGATGGTTGCATTACTGAGTGTGCCAGTTCTTTTTGTAGCCTATTTTATGTCCTTACCTTGTTTTCATTTTTGCAATATAAAACCAAAAATGCAGTTGGTATCACTGAGAGATTATATAAAGCCCAGAATATTAACTTGAAACTGATTACATAAGGCAGGCTTTCATCTGTAATTAATATTATTTTTTTCAGGTAAATTTGCTTGAAGCATTCATAGGGTTTTACTACAACTCATTATTTCAATTAGATGCAAGGTGTCATGGACATTTCTTGTCTCAAGATCACATGTTAAGATGATCAGAGAAATATAATGGCAATGCACTCTGTCATATTTTTTTTTGGCTTCATTTCATGATTCCAAAATCAGGTCAGATCAAATGGTTCTAAATATTTGATATGGAGATTTTGCTGGTAGAGTTTTTAAGGATGAAATTTCATGGGCAATATCTGCTCACTTATGTGTCTTGACAAGATAAAATTTGAAATTTATTTCTCCTTCTCTGTTTTGCATGTTCTCTCTCTCTTAATCTCCACTAGGGCAGTGTTTCTGTTACCATTACATTCCTTTCCTTTAGCAGTTCATTCACCTAAATACTCTAAAGACACCAAATCCCATCTGAGCTTGAACGTTGAGCAAAGTCAGCTCTTATGAGAGAAGGGCCTTTCCTGCAGATCTCATGGCCTAGGCAGGTTTGTTCCAGGAGATGCTGTCAGCCAAATAGCCGGGACCTGAACCGTCTAGGGCTTTAACCAGCACATTGAATTGTGCCCAGAAACAAACTGGTAGCCAGTGGAGCTGCTTCAACAGGGGGGTGTTCGCTCCCTTTAGCCAGCCTCGGTCAGCAACCTGGTTACAGCTCTTTGGACCATTTGAAGTTTCAAAGCACTCTTCAAAAGCAGCCCCACATTATTATTATTATTATTATTATTATTATTATTATTATTATTATTACAACAACAACTTTATTCTTATACCCCGCCACCATCTCCCCGAAGGGACTCGGGGCGGCTTACAAGGAGCAAGCCCACATTACAAATAAAACAGCATTAAAACAGCATTAAAAACAATCAAATAAAACGTAAACGCAATCAAACAACATCTTAAAACAATTGGCTGGGATAATAGTCAAACTGGGATCAGGCTCAAATTAGTGCAGTGCTTCCAGATTGGGGCCAGTGGAGAGTGCAGATTAAGGGAAAAAGTGAGGTTAGAGATGCTTTAAAGTGCCAGGTAACGGTTCGGTGGGCAAAATAAAGTGCATAGTCAGGGTAGGAGAGGAATAGTTCTCTGGTGAAACTGCTCAATCAAAGGCATGACATAGAGCACATTCCAATAATCCAGATAGGATGTAACTAAGGCATGTGCCACCATGGATAGATCTGGCTTCTCAAGGAACGAGTGCAGTTGACGCACAAGTTTTAATCCTGCAAAGGCCCTCCTGGCCACTGCAGATTCCTTGACCTCCAGGTTCAGTGCTGAGTCCAGGAGAACCCCCAAACTGCAGACCCCTGTCTTCAGAAGGAGTGTAACTCCATCCTATACTGGCTGGATCCCTATTCCCTGATCTGCATTCCAACTGACCAGGAGCACCTCTGTCTTGTCTGGATTAAATTTCAGTTTGTTTGCTCTCATCCAGTCAATTACTGATGACAGACACTGGTTTAGGGTCAGGACAGCTTCCTTAGATGGGAAGGAGTAGTAGAGTTGGGTGTCATCTGCATATAGGTGGCACTACACTCCAAAACTCTGGATGACATGTATATGGTTTCATGTATATGGTAAACAGCATGGGGGACAAAACAGAACCCTGAGGAACCCCACAGGATAATGCCCGAGGGTTTGAACAGGAGCCCCCAAGCACCACCTTCTGTGTATGGCCTGCCAGGAAGGAACAAAGCTACTGTAAAACAGTGCTTCCCAGTTCCATCTCAGCGAGATGGCTCAGGAGGATACCATGGTCAATGATATCAAAAAGCCGCCAAGAGGTCCAGCAACACTGGACAAGCAGGCACCAGAGTTACATCCATTGGAACTCATCAATAACAGCATCCAAGTCAGAATGAAGCTAAGTGACTTTATCTTCAAAGTGCCATTCTTCACAGTGAGCTGTTGAATGGTTGTAAATCTCTCTTTCAGCACCAGTATGTAATAGTCCTCTGACCACTCTAAGCAGTTCAGCAAAATGGTTCCTTGCAAATGAAATAGTGACAGCAAGAAATGATTTCTCTGTTGCTTCCATTGCCTTCAAATATGCTTTAGCCCGTGCTCTGTCAGATTCACTTCAAGTTCTCCTGCCAGTGTCACTCTAGACCTGTGGTTCTCAACCTGTGGGTCCCCAGATGTTTTGACCTTCAACTCCCAAAACTCCTCTAACAACTGGTAAACTGGCTATTTGATGTAGGAGACAGTTTGGGGGCAATAAGCACTCTGTTTCACTCCCCATTCTGTTGGTACTGAGACTGTCTCCTCCTGCTGCATCTCCGCCTGCCCTGTATAATCCCAATTGCTGCCCCAAAAATCCGGGAACTCACTCCCTCCTCTAAAAAACACATCTTTCCTATATGGGGTAGGCCAATAGATGACAAATAAAAACCTTATATAAAGTAGGTAGGCAGATGTTAAAAACAAGGTCATAGACTTGAGGTTGGACAAACAAAGGGACAGACTCTTGCCCTCGTGCCACTGACATCTTTTTGTCCCCAGCCTCTGGAGGCAATCAGGTGTTTCTGCTGGGAGTCCAGACCTTGCCTTCAATCAGGGCCTCAGTTTGCAAAGAGCCAGTCTTCTGCATCAGGAGTCAGAGGCAGCCCACAGCAAGCAAGTGCCTTTTCCTTCCAAGCTCCCTGCTGATGTTCCTTCTGGCTCTTCTGGATAGTGCTGTGTGTCTTTATCCACACTCTGTGATTTTGGTGCTACTTATTCACAATAAGGTTCATTCAGTATCTTTATTTTTACTCCTTTTTTATCATGTATTAAAAATAATTGCACATGACATGTTTGATAACTGTCTTGAAGGAATTTCACAATATTTTATTAATTTACTTGATTCATTTAATTCAAAATAGCATGTGAGGCTGGATTCCAGAAAACATGCATGTTTCACTTCATTGTTTTGTTTCAGGTTTCTTTTGTCATAGAATAATAGCCCCAAATAGAGTTCTGCTTTAGAGTATTTATTTTTAAAAATCAACAAAACCAAATATTTTAATTGTTGATCCCATGTCAATGTAATTATACCTAGAGAAGGAGCACGAAACAGACAAGTGAGATACTTTGATATAACTTCATCAACAGTTTATGACTAAAGTAGAATATGTTAATATTTAGTTTCATACTTACTTGTGTCATATTTACCTTACAATTGTCTTTTTTAATGTGTTTAGAATACTTTTATGTCCATGAAGACAGAAAGTGGGGATATTTGGACCTCTGGAGAAAATCATTTTCAATATTATCTAAAATGTATTTTGTTTTGTAGGACAAAGTAGATCTTGGCGAGTTGATGTTTTCACTTTGCTATCTTCCAACTGCTGGTAGACTAACCATTACCATAATAAAAGCAAGAAATTTGAAGGCCATGGATATAACAGGAGCATCAGGTAGGGATTTTTTATTTCTATTTTCAAGGTACCCTCCTTTTATAAAACTTTTTTTTTGTATGCCTTCAATTCTTTTCTGATTTATGGCAACCCTAAGGCAAACCTATAACAGGGTTATTGGTAATTTCAGAAATATCCAGTGCTTAATTTCAGTGTTACTTTCAAACTGAAGTGATGATGAAAGATGGTGACTGCTTTACTATGTTTATAAATGTTTGTATTTGTGTATTTAATGTTTGAAATATTTTTGTCTGTTGTACTCAGCTTCAATGTCCTGGCATGCTGAAGTGTGATTAAAAAACACTTTAAATAAATAAACAAAGGAGCTTTGTGATCAGAAGACATGAGGGGACACTGTTACTTATTTTTGCTTCATTTATATTCTGGAAAAGTACTCTGAGTAGCATATGTAGTTCTTGGCCCCTTGTGATCATTGTATCAACCATATAGAGTAGTTAAGACTGAAATAAAAGATAGCTGAACAGGGAATTAGGACTGTGTATTAGGGCAAAATTCTTTTCACACTACATCACAATGGGTTTCTGGTTACAAAACTGCAGCTTATTTTCACTGCTTCTTTCAAGGTACTGAAAAAAATGTGTTAAGTGTCTATAAAGAAGTAATAAGTACATTGTGTCACAATAGAAAAAATGTTCCAAAGATATCTTGTATGTGTAAAGCTTGAATATTTAACATGTTTTGCTCCTAGAATATCTGCTTCAAGTGGGTCAAATCTCTTTTTCTTTACCCAAGAAGGGAAGAAATCAATCACAGAGGGCAACCAGTGGCTTGACCTAGATTGGCACAAACTGAAATGTTTCTGATATACCTTGGAGATGCAGTCACATTATAGACATCACTATCTCTTTGGAATTCGATGGGCCACAAATATTAGTATTGTGTGAAGGAATGTTTCTCCTTTATCCAAAATGCACAGGACTAAAAGTTTTTCATATTTCGTATTCTTTTCAGATTTTGGAATATCCGTATTTGCATTTACATACTGAAAGAGGGATCAGGGGAAGGAGGGCTAGTCACATTTGAGTTTTCCTCAAGAAGCCTTGAAGGCGGGGGGGGGGGGGGGGGAGAGAGAGAGAGAGAGAACAAAGGGAAGAGGGAAAGACTCTACTTATACAAGGACCTTGTAAAAAGTAGCTGCTACAATGCTTCAGTCTGTCAGCACATTTTCTACCCCATTAGCAAAGTAGCTGGGAAGATCCTTCCCCAGGTCTTTCTCATACTCTCTCAGCTGGATTCAGAAAGTGGCCAGTGGGCTCATTCTATGTTCACCATCATTGCTATTTGAAGAACGCCCATCCAGCCACATGCTGTCATTGACTACATAAAAGGTGGGTGCAGATGGCTGCTTTATACAGGACGTGGTGTAAATAAAGTCCTCCCCGCACGTCCCCCTTTCCTTCCCTTATCAAGGCTCAGCAGGCACTGGGTGTGTGCCTACACTCCACTTTTCTCAAAGGCAAAAGTAGACAGCCAGTAACAAAACATTTCAATTTTTGGAGTATATATTGCCTGAGGTCTGCAGAAGGAACTCTCATCTATGTCTCTCCATCAGCAATAATATATTATGTGAGACCATCTCTGGCTCCTTAATTCTGGAATGCCCTCTCCCAGGTGCCCCATTTGGGACCAACACTGGCATCATTCCAGTGCCAAACAAAAGCATTAGTTTTTATTTTAAAATGATTTTATTCACACTAGTCTTACAGTTTTAAATTTACCTGTTTTGGCTTGTTAAATCATTTAAAATCTTATAGTCTACTTAAATCATTTTACTATCTATAAACAGGTGTGATTATACACATGCCTACAATTGAATGATATAGGGCAGGATAAAATAAAATTCATAGCTAAATGTACAGATATAGGGAAAGCTTTAATTGTGGTATCTATCATGCGTAGTGGCAGGAGAGCAGAAAGGCTATCACCACTAAAGATGATACGGATGAGGAAAATTATAAATAAAATGTAGATAAGCAAAAATAGATGGGAATGTCTGTCTTTTCCCCCGGGATATTTTGATAGAAGCTATGTTGTGCTTGTTTATTTATTCTTCATACAGATCCCTATGTGAAGGTCTCACTAATGTGTGAAGGGAGACGACTGAAGAAGAGGAAGACTTCCACCAAGAGGAATACCCTCAATCCTGTTTACAATGAAGCCATAGTCTTTGATGTCCCTCCAGAAAATATTGATCAAACTAGCTTGTCTATAGCTGTTATGGATTATGACCGGTGAGATATCTGGAGATTTATTAAGAATGAAGAGATAATATTTTAATCAAGTGACAATACAATTAACCCTCAACATTTGCGGGTTTGGGATTCACAAATTTGCTTACTCATGGGTTTGCTACCTACTGTTGGTCAGCATAGGGGGTACAAAAAAGGAAAGGAGAAAGATACATGAGAGAGAGAGAGAGAGAGAGAGCAGTTGTTGGCAAGTCTTGCTGTTCCTCCATCTTTCCTAAAGCCATGGGAGGAAGGAGACCAGCAGTGAGCCCCTTTGTCAACCAACTCAGCCAGCTCATGTCAGCCAGCTCATGCCTAGGCTTCCAGAGTTGGTTGGCAAAGAAGATTGCCAAAGAGGAGGGGGAATAATGAGTCCCAAACAAACATACACACCACTGACTTGACTAAGTTGAAACAATTTCTCTGGGTTTCACACTGCCACAATCAGCCTTGGACAGGAGAGAAAATAATGAAAGCATTCACTGCTAGGGAGTAAGCACCATTAACATCAAAGTCCATGATGAAGCAAGACCTTCATTAGACTGACCAAAAGCCACAAAAAAGCAGTGCTTGCTTTTGAACAAATTTGAATATTCATTTGAATATCCCTTATCAAAAAGGTTTGAGACCGGCAGTATTTTGGATTTTTTCCAAGTTTTGGAATACCTGTATGTTCATGTTCATACATAATGAGATATCTTGGAGAAGGGGCACAGATTTAAATGTGAAATTCACCAAAATATAATTCCCCCCAATTTTCAGAAAAATTAACATATCTCCTGATTTTGGGGAAAAATTTAAAAATTCAAAGAAATTTAAATCTTTTTAGCTGCTATGGCTGGCTGGAGTGGATTGGAGTGAGGTCCACACTTTTCCACTGCAAGCAAGCCCATCAAATTTCAGAACATTTGGGTCATCCACAGATTTTTAATAAATTCTTAATGTTTCTAGAAATAAAATCTCCTTTGAAATAAACCCAAAGGTTTTCCCACAGAACCTCTGTGAAAGTGGGAAAGTAGAAACATTTTTTATCTGAGAACAACAAATGTGGTCCACAGAGTTATGCCGAAAGAGATGCCTAGAGAGGTATTTCCTAGGAGTCTCCAGGTCTACTAGCAGAATTATGGCCATAACCCCTTTTCTCCGCCTCTGACTTGAGGCAGCACAACAGTACTATATAATATCATGTGATTCCTGGGATTCCACAACCAGTTCACAAGATGGATACAGAAGACCCTGTAAAACTTGAATACCCAGAAATCCATAGCATTTTGAGTCATGGCAGTTAAAATGGTGTTAAATGGTTTTTGCAAACCACAAATATCTTATGCAAAAACAGGCAGAACTTATATGTCTTTTCTTTAAACACTATTGTTAATAAGTATAATTAGAGCAAGGTCTCCCAAAACACAGAGAATCTTTATAGTTTGTCTCCCCTCAAAAAGATTTTGGTGCTTTTTACTTGTGCCTGGGTAAAACAACTGGTTGGTTGTGTGCTTTTTGGCTAAAAGCACACAGCACAACAGTAGCTTGTTGTGCCTGGCTGAAACAACTGGTTGTGTGGGTTGTGGCAACTAACACGCACAAAATAGTCACAGGCAATAGCCCTAGAAGATTGTGATACCCTCATAATGAATTAAAAAAGAATTGTGCCTGTTTTTAAAAAGTTGTGTGGGTTGTGGCAACCCACGCACACAAAATAGGCTTGCAGTCCCTAGAAGAGATAGTGTTAAAATGCTGAGGGAGGGAAAAGACGAAAGGCAAAAGACGCACATCCACCCCCAAAAAGAAGCAATCAAAGCCTAAGCTTTAAGCTATTGTTGACTCCCCTCCCCTCTGGTGCTAGTAATCTAGGCCTTTTCCACACAGCCATATAACTCAGAAAATCAAGGCAGAATAACCCACAATATCTGCTTTGAACTGGGTTATCTGAGTCCATACTGCCATATATCCCAGTTCATATATCCCCTATATTTTTTGTTTTCCCTTGGAGAATTTTTGAATTATATGGTTCTTGAATGTAAAATTTTAAGAAATAAATATTATTGAACCTTTTCACAGTGTAGGTCACAATGAGGTCATTGGAGTCTGTCAAGTAGGCAACGATGCAGACAGCCTTGGGCGAGACCACTGGAACGAAATGCTCTCGTACCCTCGGAAGCCCATTGCTCATTGGCACCTGCTAGTAGAGGTAAGGCTCCTTCATCTCACAGTCTGCCTTTTACATTTTAAAAGAACCAACTAACACTGGAGAAAATACCCCCATCCCACCACAAATCCATTTGCATAGATTAAATCCTCTTAAAACACATTAGAATCCAGAGGTTTAAAGTAAGATAGATGTGGAATCCAAGTAAAAGCTGTTCCACCAATATTTTCTTTTGAATGTCAAGGTAAAATCTATCCCAATTAAAGTAAAATCCAAATATTATGTATATAAGTTTTCTTTTGTTTTTTTTGTTTGTTTTTTTGTTTCAATATGGAAAATTTTGAGTAGATAACTATGTTGTCTACATTCTTTGACAAGTTTGAGTAATTAGCATTCTAGTGTACTACATTTCCTCTCTTATCCATTAATTTGCATATATAGAATAAGTATGAAAAGGGCTTGTTGTTGTTTATGTACAGAAGAGAAGTATGGCTTAATATTGTGTAATAATGTAACTCCACTATGGTGTCCAGGAGGACATCAAATTCATGTTGAAATTAGTGTCCTCATAGATTAGGACATGAACTCAAAACTTCTCAAGTTACAATTAGATTCCTCTGTTTCTTTTGTCTTTATTTAGGGCCCTATTGAGCAGAAATGTTATGCGGGCCTTCTGCGCATGGATGGCTGCCGAAGAGGCTTCCTCACTCTTTTAACCTATTCAGCAGAAATTTGGCATTCCTGTTGAACCTTTTCTTAGCCATTTTCTCAGGGGCCATTCCGCAGAGAGTCCAAAGGGGTAAAGACATCCCTTCAGTTCCATTATTTGACCCTCACCCCTTTCCCAGCACCAGAATATATTAATCCTAAACCAGAAGGTGTAAAACTTTGGTTTTTTTAAAAGAAACAAATGTACTTTGATTTCTGTAGTTTTCTATAGTTTAATTTTAATATAGATACCCATGTTTTATTAGTAATCACCCATTTTGTCATCTATTCCTACCACATCAATTGCATTGTTAACATCGTTACCTTCATCTAGGTGGTTATCCATGTTCATATACTTTTTTAAAAAGTCATGGGAAAATGTTTCTTTTTATCATTATTAGTAGTATTATAAATGGAAAATATCAACTTGCACTGTTTTTCAGTCCTTGCTCCATTGTCAACTAGTCCCGCAATCATAACATCAATAGACATTTCTCTTTGTTCATAATGCACGAATTAGATGTAATAATATGGATATGGGAAGTTGTGTTTCTTATCCTTTTCAACAATCATTGGCAACTACATATGGTCTTCACAAAGTAAAGTTGTTTTCGACTAGTAGGTGCCTGTATAGTTTTTCTTTCCCACAGTATATAATAAAAACTGTGTAGGGACCAGTAGCATACAGCACAGCTACACACTGTACCCACAATAGCATTCTGAGCATTTGAGTTTTGTGGATTGTACTGAGTTATGCAACTGGAACCAAGTACAGTTTAAAATAAATAGTTTAAAATAATGATGTGTCTTATTAAACTTAAAAATCATCATGGTTTAAAAAACGTCTTTTAGAAAACTTGTGAATCTTATTTCTTTATCTGTTCTGAACAAGAGCAAAGTAAAAACAGGTTTGTGTTATGGCCAGACTTGTTGGTGCTCTTATATGGTAGTCTTTCAGTGGGTTTTGTTATTTAGAGAACAATTTGTTTGGCCTAATTCAAATTTGTTTTATTTACTTTGCAGCACCGTTCCTAAAGTGTTTGAAAAACTTGAACCCCCGGTCTTCTTCCTTTGAAAAAGGCTAAATAATCTTTAGTTCATTTAGCAAACTTTGGAGTGAGACTTCCATCACAGCAACCGCAACGCATCTGGGAGAAAAAATAAATAATTTAAACCCTTATTATAAGACATGTAAAGATAACAAACCAAAATGTAAAATGACTGTTAGTAGAAAATCTGCAGAACAGTCCATCTTTGTTAAATATTGAAGGATGAGGAGCTGTTTTGTTAATCATTGTTAAAATCCAATGTTCAGTATGTCTGAGAGGCACTACTATGTATGGACAGAGGAAAACAAAGTAACTTCAAAATGTCTAGTAATTCTGCCATTGAGAAGATTGTCCAGTCAGTAGAGTGTTGGTGACTATTTTTTTATTCTGTATGGGATTCTATATTACATTTTCAAAGCTTCAAGTTTTGTGAAAACTTTCTTGTCTTGTAGTACATATATAATTTCCATCTGCAATGTCAAGTATTTATCCAACTCCCATAGTTATGTGGTAGCATTCAAAATGTGTGGGAGTGGGTTCAACCCTTCTTCCTCATTTTAAATTGGACCGAACTCTTCTGTAAGCGGGATGTTTGAAAGCTCAGGTATGATATTTTTAATGCTTATTGTGGATCCAGATACTGCCACATATATTTATAGTTAATACAGGCCTGATGAATCCTGAGATCCTGCAACAAACCTTTCATGTTATGCTCAGAAATATATTTCACTTGGTGAAAGTGGCAAGAGCTGCAAGAAAAACCCACAGAAGGAAGGTCTCAGTGCCATCACCTTTGGATGGCATCATGCAGCAGACATCACCCAAGTTAATTTTAACCAACCTAATTCTAAAACAAAACAATACAGGAGGAAGGCTTACAAATAATGTTTATAATCAGTTTTTCATCCAACCATATTTTGACCAGATAATAAGATAAGAGTATATGTAGAAAACTTTAGTTTTCTAGCATGATACATACAACTAATTTTCTATGCAGGTGGTTCTCTTTATAATAGGCCATATAACATACCAAAGTTATGGTAGGCTGTACTAAAATACCATGCAATTAAAAACAAACTGAAAGTGCTATTTTTGTTACATCTTATTCAAATTGAATATATAGGACCATAAGCAACTTTAAGTAGCCTTCATAAACATACAAGAAAATACTAACCAAGCATCATGTAGCACCACCATCTCTCTCAGGTGCCTCCTTTGATAGTTCCAATTCATCCTCTATAGATTTTGCTATTCCCTATCAAATTTCTTATCGGATTTTACAATGCTTTAGTTTAGTGTTTAGTCACTTTCAATCGGAGTTCAAGCAGTCAGGTTACCTGTGGCTATAGCTGGTCACATATGCTAAGCCAGGCTGTCCATGGTTCCTGAATTTAAGGTGTTGTGTAGCCATGGTCAGTAGGTTAGATTCAGACCTGTGGCTCCACAGATGGAATGCCTTCCGTTGTATAGGTGAATTGCATCCATGGAGGTTCCCAGACCATTGACTCAACAATTCTGCATTGCAGTAACATGATAGTTGCCAGTTTCCACCCCAGCACACAGCCACACATACACACTGCCCCCAGTGCCACCTTATGTACTATTCTTGGGAGTCACCACAACCAATCCATGGCAATGTATTTTCAGATGTACATGGGAAAAATCTTATGACACTTGAGGAAATCATAACAGAAAAAGATGAGAGTTAACTTAACAAGAAAGGTGACCATATAGGAAACATTGGAATGCTTTAAAGTTTTTCCTGACAAATTTCCCAATTGAAAAAAGTAAAATGACTGCAAATAGGAAAGAATTAAAAAATATTAAAAATTAAAAAAATTGAGTGTATGAGGGAATATTTTGAAAGGCGGAAAAGTGGGCCATGAATATTGTTTGGACATTAACTTCTAGACGCCTCCTTCACACGTAGGCAGATGAGAAGCAGGTTTCTGGCTTTCTATCGTTCTCTTGTTCCCATTTCTATATGGGAGAGTTATATTTTACCATTCAGCCTCACATGTGTCTTATCAGAACCAAGTCCTCATGACTTCATTTAGACTCTCTATCAAGTCAATGAAGTTGTCAGAGTTACACACTCATTAGAAAACTAACACATTTCTTATCTTGGAGACCAAACCTAGGATCAGGACAGAAACCTACATTTTTAATCAATATGAGTTTTAATGTACATGCAGGAAATTTGGACTTCTATCTTCTCAAACATATCCAGCAATGTAAGCCCTTGTTTGTCTCCAAGACGGAACTGGAATCAGAGTTTCAGCTAGGTTTTCATTTCAAATGTGGTTTGTGTAAACCAGGAAGTGCAAGAATCGTCAACAGGAATGTGCGTAGTTTGTTTATTTTGGACCTCTGTGCAAATGACGATCTGCCCAGGGCAGAAAATATGTCAGTGTATAAAGGAAGGGGAATGGAATGTGATCAAGAAGTCCTTTAGGAGAAAATTGGTCAGCTCTACCATATGTATTTGTCTCAGGTATAATATAACCCATAGCATTTCTCCAGGTTCATTAAGCACCACACAAACTCATGTTAAATCACAGATTTGCCTGTTATTCACACAATGAGGGTATGAAGGCCCACCACGTCCATCCTAGACCCCTGCCCATCCTGGCTTCTAAGAGAGGCCAGAGGGGGATTGGCCGAGTGGGTAACAGTGGTGGTGAATGCCTCCCTTCGGGAAGGCAAGATTCCAGCGAGCCTAAAACAGGCCATCATAAAGCCGCTGTTGAAGAAGCCATCACTGGACCCCACTAAATTTGACAACTTTCGGCCTGTTTCCAATCTCCCCTTTTTGGGCAAAGTCATGGAAAGCGTGGTGGCCTCACAACTCCAGGTATTCTTGAGAGACACGGATTATCTGGATCCGGCACAGTCTGGTTTCAGACCGGGACATGGTACCGAGACGGTCTTGGTCGCCTTAGTGGATGATCTGCGCCGGGAGCGAGACAGGGGGAGTGTGTCCCTGTTGGTGCTCCTGGACCTCTCAGCGGCCTTCGATACCGTCGACCACGGTATCCTTCTGGGGCGCCTTGCGGAAATGGGTCTTGGGGGCACTGCTTCTGCAGTGGCTCCAGTCATTTCTGGAAGGCCGCACCCAGAAGGTGTTATTGGGGGACTCCTGTTCAACACCACAGCCTTTGACCTGTGGCGTTCTATACTGTCCCCCATGCTGTTTAATATCTACATGAAGCCGCTGGGGGAGATCATCCGGAGTTTCGGAGTGGTGTCATCTGTACGCAGATAACATGTCCAACTCTGTCCTCCTTTCCACCTGCTACTAAGGAGGCTGTCGAGGTCCTGAACCGGTGCCTGGCCACTGTGACGGTCTGGATGAGGGCGAACAAACTGAAACTAAATCCAGACAAGACAGAGGTACTCCTGGTCAGTCGCAAGGCCGAACGGGATATAGGGTTACAGCCTGTGCTGGATGGGGTCGCACTCCCCTTGAAGGCGCAGGTTCGCAGCTTGGGTGTGACCCTGGATTCATCGTTGAGCCTGGACCCCCAGGTTTCAGCGGTGACCAGGGGAGCATTTGCACAGCTCAGGCTTGTGCGCCAGCTGCGCCCGTATCTCGGGAAGTCTGACTTGGCCACGGTGGTACACGCTCTTGTCACATCCCGCCTGGACTACTGCAACGCTCTCTACGTGGGGCTGCCCTTGAAGACGGCCCGGAAGCTTCAGCTGGTTCAGCGTGCGGCAGCCATGTTACTAACTGGAGCGGGTGGCAGGGAGCACACAACGCCCTTGTTGTCCCAGCTCCACTGGCTGCCGATTTGCTACCGGACCCAATTCAAGGTGCTGGTTTTGGCCTTCAAAGCCCTAAACGGTTCCGGCCCAAAATACCTTGCTGACCGCATCTTGGCCTACGAGCCCACGAGGACCTTGAGATCGTCTGGGGAGGCCCTTCTCTCGATCCCGCCTGCATCACAGGCACGGCTGGCGGGGACGAGGGAGAGGGCCTTCTCGGTGGTGGCCCCCCGGCTGTGGAACACTCTCCCGGCACACATTAGACAGGCGCCCTCCCTCATGTCCTTTCGAAGAAGCCTTAAGACCTGGCTGTTCGAGAGGGCATTTAATTAAGTGCTAGCAACAACATTACGGTAATGTGATCTGGAATGGTATAAGGATGATGAGACTGGCCTATGATTCTACTAAGAGACGAAGCGGATTTTTATGTAGTTTGTATTGTTGTATAGCTATGTGTTGTGGATACTGGCTTTTGTAACTGTCTTTTATCTGTACTGTACACCGCCATGAGTCGCCCATAAGGGCTGAGAATGGCGGTTAATAAGTGCATCAAATAAATAAATAATAAATAAATAAATTTACTTTTCAATTGCCCTATATTACAACTGTAATGCTCAGTTGACCCAATCTAATGCTTTTCTAGGCTAGAACTGACATTAACTTAAGTCTGCCTTACACAAAGGTTGGTTTTGTGAAAGCCTTGATAGCAGAAGGCTTTCATAATTCTTGATGTTGTGCTCATACCCCTCCAACAATTAAAACAATTAGAGCTGCACTTCTATCTACTTCCATGATGTTCCGCATTCCACCCAGAGATGGGCAGGTACACTGACCACAAAGCATGAATTCAGTTTTCACACAAGTCTTTTTAGTTTGTGAGGGATAGGCATAAAGGATAATGTTACAATTTATTTAAAGGTGAAATCTCACCATTGTTCATCATCTATTAAAAGATTCTGAAGACTCATAGTAGTTCTTGGGA